AAATACGCCATTTCTCTCCTACTTACTCCCCTACTTACTCGAATTAATTTTTTTTTTCAAAACAAACATAGCCGTGACCCTTCTGCACACTTTAGATTTTTCCTTTTTAATTAGTGTTACAGGTTTGTAGTTTCATACGATCTCAAATTAACTTTGGTTAAGTTAATTGTTGTCTTCTTACTTGAGCTCAAATGATGACAAATCAGCAGAAGACGAAGGGGGAAAACGTTTCGGGGTGGTGGCTGCCCTCAACAGGGTAAGAGTCCCCAGAGAGAGAGGTCGGTGAGAAAGAAGACTAAGCAAACCCACGGCCCTGGCTGTTGGGAGGTCATTGTAATCTTGTAAAGGGAGGCTTCAATAGGATAGACACTTGGGAAACTCTACCATAGGAAAGAGAGTGGTTAAGAGGTGGATAAGGAGCCCTCCCAGGTGGCGCCGTGGTTAAGCACTGGACTGCTAACCAAAAGGTTGGTGGTTTGAACCAAACAGCCACTCTGCGGGAGAAAGACCTGGCAATCTGCTTTCATAACGATCACAGCTTAGTAAACCCTATGGGGCAGTTCTACTCTGCCACATGGGGTCACTGTAAGTCAGAATCAACTTGACAGCAAACAACGCGAACAAAAGAGAGGATGCGTAGTTGTCTATCGTGACTTTGGGAATGTGGGCAGTGAAGGGGTGTAGAGAAGACGTCATCTCAGAGGATGGGATGAGGTCCAGGGAGGTGTCTGTGTAAGGCAAGTGGCCTGAGCAGAGGTCACCAAGTCTGTAGGAGGGTGTCATTGTGTTTGGGATCGAGTGAGGACAGCATTGCTGGACCCAGGTCTCCTAGAAGGCAGTGAAGGAAGCAGAAAGGATAGAGGGAGGAGAAAGACCACGAACCGCAAGTTGTTGTCGTTACGTGCTGTCAATTTGGTTTTGACTCATCGTGACCCCATATGACAGAGTGGAACTGCTCCATAGGTTTTCTAGGCTGTGATCTTTATGGGAGCAGATCACCAGGTCTTTCTCCCACAGAGCTACTGGGTAAGTTTAAACCACCAACCTTTTGATTAGTAGCTGAGCGCTTAACCATCGTGCCACCAGAAGTTACTAGAAAAGAAATACTAGGATAATAGGATAGTAGAAAGGGAAACTTGCATCCAGTTGGTGGTGGAATTGACTTTTAAAGTGAACAAGGAGCCACAGAGTAGGTGGTACACTTGGACATTTGCAGGAAATGAATTCTTATGTTCCTGTGAACACATAAATAAAGTTGTTCTCTTAAGTGGATTTTGTATGTACAGCTGCTGGCTCACAGGCTGCAGAGGCTGACGAATCCCAAGATCAGTAGACAGTATGGCAGGCTGCTGGCTCAAGCCCCAAGAACCAGAGGTCAGATGATGAGAAGCCAGATGCAGGATCTGGAGCAAGCAAACAAGCTTTGCCAGAATGTCCATGTATATACTGGATGCAGGCCCCACCCCTGAGCAAACTCCCCTTACGACTGATTGGCTAATCACATCAGATCATATCATGGAGATATTACATTATGTTACTTATCATCATCATCACATCCTGTCGCTGTTGAGTCGATTTCAACTCATAACGACCCTATAGGACAGAGTAGAACTGCCCCATAGGGTTTCCAAAGAGCAGCTGGTGGATTCAAACTGCCACCCTTTCTGTTAGCAGCCGTAGCATTTAAGCACTGTGCCACCAGGGCTCCATATTGCTTATAGGAGATGACAAAATGGAAGGTAATTACATCAGATCACAAAATGGAGGATAATTATATAATACTGAGTGTCATGGCCTAGTCAAGTTGACACATAACATTAACCATCACAGGGCGGGGGTCCCCAGAGAAACACAGTAACCGAGCCCAGCCCCCATGGAAGCAAGTTAAGCCCCTCTGTCCCTTTCTTTCCAGTGAATGTAGCTTAGATTCTGGCTGGACATCTGAGCAGGAAAGATGTGTGACAGACCGCTTGTACGGAAACTTCACTGGGGGAACTAATGGTTGTAATTTTTCTCACTCCAAGATCCAATAAACTGTGATCAGGGGATCTCTTATACATGCCTTCAAATTTCACAGATTAAAAAAATAGTGAGCCCGTTCTGTAGAACTCCTAATGAGCAGTTGTCGGCCCACTCCGTGTTCCCGAGCCTTCCTTGTGGCCTACCTTGCCGTATGGGGTTCCTCCTGCCTCACGTGTCAGCTCCCCGGGACAGTGTTGACATACCCCCTTACAACAGCCAGGGTTGAACAGGTTGTAATTCACAGCATGAGAACATAAAAGCTCATAGATCAAGAAGCTGGATTTTTCTAAAACCCACAGATGTGGTGCCTCAACCAATAATTGCAAGGCATAATTGCAGGTCAGCCCTGGGGAAACCTATTTGAAAGTCACAGCCAATTTTTTTAAATGAAAATCCCAACAAGTCCCTGAGGGTCAGAGGGCATCACTGGGGGAGCTGAGGCCTGCAGCCCCCCTTGGTTCCTCCACCCCCAGTCTCCCTCCTCTGTTTTCTGCGGCAGGTGGAGCATTGTGCTCCTGCAGAAACACGGGGCTGCTTGTTCTCCAAACCCACGGTCCAGTAGACTGGGGTGTACTTTCTCATAATCCCTCACTTTCTGAACTCTGATCACTAGCTCTCCAGAATTCCAACACCAGAGAGAATGAGAATGCTCAGATTCAGGAGCCATAGCCGTTCGGAGAGCAAGGGACACTGACTGAGCGCCCTAGAAGTGAGCTGACACCTCCCTCCATGAAAAATCAAGCCAGTTGCTGTGGGGTCGATTGCAGCTCACGGCGACCCCACATGTTTCAGAGTAGAACCGTGCTCCATAGCGTTTCCAATGATGATTTTTCAAAAGTAGATCACTAGGCCTTTCTCCCGAGGCACCCCGGGTAGACTTGAACCTCCAACTTTCCGTAAGTAGCCGAGTGCTTAAGTGTTTGCACCACCCAGGGGCTCTCTCCTCCATGAGGGCGCCTTTATTTCATGGAGCCCAGCTCGGAGCCAGCTGCCCTGTCCTCTCTCTCTCACGGAGCATCCTCACTCGGCCCCTTCCCTGAGCGTTCCTGAGGGAGGCTCACGAAGAGCCCAGCGCGGCCCCCGTCTGTGACCTTGTTGCGGGGGCTGGCTTCAGTGCAGAGCCTGTGTGGGGAGTGTAGGGCTAACCAGCCAGCACCCAGGGCACAGGGCTGACCTCCATCCTGTCCCTTTGGCGTCAGCCACAGCCCCAGAATGAGCCTCAACACCGTCATAACTTCTCATCTTTAGGGGGAGTCACAGGCTGTGGCAAAGCTGGCGGAAGCCATGAACCCTTGTGACAGAGAAATGTCACCTACGCTTCCTGAAGCTGGGCACTCTTAACAGGAGAAATCCTTTGCCAAACGTTTTGTAGGTGGATGTGCCCACTGACTAGGGTGCTGTTCAAGACAAGTTCCACAGATTTAGGCCCAGCTCATCAGGAGTCTAAATTCTTAAGGAACGGAGATGCTTACTTTAGATAGAATACAGTACCATTGTTATCTGAATATGTGGAGATTTCATCCAAAGGTGGTATGGCCCTATTTCTGTGATCATCAGTGGCTGCTCCTTAGTGAGGAGTCTCTGGGTGGTGCAAACGGTCAATGCACTCTGCTGCTAACCAAAACGTTGGTGGTTCGAGTCCACCCAGAGGCGCCTTGGAAGAAAGTCCTGGTGACCTACTTCTGAAAAATCAGCCATTGAAAACCCTGTGAGTACAGTTCTACTCTGACACACATGTCTCCATGAGTCAGAGTCAGCTCCACAGCGGCTGGCGGTTGGTGGGTTGAGCAGCATTGTGGAGCCCTGTGGACCAGGCCCTGTGCTGGCCTCCGCTGTTGTTAGGTACTGTCGAGTCAGTTCTGACCCACAGCAACCCTGTGCATAACAGAGCACAACACTGCCCAGTCCTGCACCATCCTCACAATCGTTATGCTTGAGCCCATTGTTGCAGCCACCGTGTCAGTCCATCTCATTGAAGGTCTTCCTCTTTTTTGCTGACCCTCTACTTGACCAAGCATGATGTCTTTCTCCAGGGACTGGTCCCTCCTGATAACATGTCCCAAGTACGTGAGACACAGTCTTGCCATCCTTGCTTCTAAGGAGCACTGTGGTCGTACTTCTTCCAAGACAGATCTGTTCATTCTTCTGGCAGTCCATGGTCTCTGCAGTGTTCTTCGCCAACACCATAATTCAAAGGCGTCAGTTCTTCTTTGGTCTTCCTTATTCATCGTCCAGTTTTCACATGCATGTGAGGTGATTGAAAATACCATGGGTTGGGTCAGGCGCACCTTAGTCTCCAAGGTGACATCTTTGAGGACATGTCATTTAAGCTGCAGTCCCATTGCATGGGTAAGGAAAAGGAGCCTCAGCGAGGTTGCGGAATGTGTCCAAAGTCTCAGACGTAGCTATGTGAATGCTAATACAGCTCTTCCCATTATAGGCGTTGCCCATACAGTGTCCTCCAGGTCACCTGGGGTCCCATGCTTTCTTCCAGCATGGATATGATGGAAATTAGCGCACTTTCCCACTCTAACTGGTCCTCTGCCATAAAAAGACACCTTCAGACTTTCGTCTTTACCATGGTGTGTCTGTGCATCTACCCAAGCCCTTGTGAAGAAATTAAAACTACACCCCATGATTAGCGTGACTGATTTCATTTCCTTCCCCAGATACCGATGGTCAACAGTAAGTTATTTCCCTAAGATGCTTCCCCTGTGCCGGACGCCAAGCCCTGGCACCCCAGGCTGGTTTTCCCGCCCCTGTTCCCCTGAGCATTCGCGGAAATCCAGGGGCCACCTCTTGAGCGTGCAGAGTGTATGGATTTGAGTATGCCCTCCTGCAGCTGTCCGGTCCTGCATGTGCCACGAGCCCCAGGCAGACGCGATGGAACCCAAAGGCACTTTTATGGCAGAGGTCTGGGAGAGGGGCCGCTGTTTCATTAAAGCTCATCTCCTCATCCCCATCACTCTGCGTTTCAGAACAAGAAGAAAACTTTGAGTTTATCATCGTGTCTCTCACTGGCCAGACATGGCACTTTGAAGCCACCACGTATGAAGAGAGGGACGCGTGGGTCCAAGCCATCGAGAGTCAGATCCTGGCCAGCCTACAGTCGTGTGAGAGCAGCAAAAATAAGGTAAGAGCCGCAGCAGGCCGCCCTGACATGAAGAACCACTGATCGTTAAAGGGAACTGAAGACCCAGAGTAATGCCCAAGGGATGGCGGATGCATTGCCAAGACCTAGTTATTCTCTCTGAGCGGAGGGCTAAATAATTGAAAAGATGAAACACACTCTGTGTCTGTCCGTGTGTTGGGTAGGAGCGCCGTAGCTCAACAATGCTTATATGGCAGAACATCCTATTTTAATTTATTACTCTCTTAAATAATCCCAGATTAAAACACTGACCTCTTACCTAGATGAGGAAACCCTTTGGGTTCTTGTGGCTTATGTTTCCACATTGATTTTTGTTTTTGATAGAGGAGACTTAGAAAAAGAATCACAGACTTCGAACTTGCGTCGGTAGGTTCTCATAATAGACGCATATATATGAGTGTGTAGAGAGTTTGGGGAAGATACGATTTCCATTTTCTAAACTCTGCTGATGAAATATGATATGGTTTTTATTTAATACTTAGGGGTAATTCTTTTATTGTTGTTTTAGCCAGAAAAAAAAACAATACAAAAAAGAGAGACTTTAACCTGTGTTTTCTAGACCGCTGCCCAGTGATATTCCTTATATAAAAATCATCTCCCCACGTGAAGAATCAAGGATTGCTTCAGTGTCATTATTTCTAATCCCTGGGTGTTTTTAAGCCCCGGTCCCTTTACTGGGATATTTTAGACTCTTGGAGAGCATTTTGATTTTTTCAAATTATTATCTACTAGAA